GTAAATTATATTACTTAAATAGTATATCATCTTCTCAAAATAACGCATCGTCCCTAATGGAATGGCACAAGATATTAGGGCATTGTAATTATAATGATGTGCGCAAACTTGAGAGCGTGGTTAAAGGTATGAAGATATTATAGTAGATGACAAAAAAATCCTTTGTGAGGTATGTACACAGGGTAAAATGTGCCAACATCGAAGTCGAGAGCCAAATCAAAGGGCAAAAAAGTCCTCTTGAGTTCGTACACTGTGATTTAGCTGGTCCAATTGAGCCAGCAGCGAAGGATGGTTTTAAATATGCCTTACCTTTTGTCGATGATTTCACTGGTACTAACTTAATATATTTTCTTAAACAGAAGAGCGACACAGTGGAAGCTACTGAAATGTTTTTGGCTGATATTGCACCCTTTGGAAAGGTAAAACGCATTAGAAGCGACAATGGTACGGAATTTACCAGCCGGAAATTTAAATCACTACTGCGTCAAAATTCAATTAAACACGAAACCAGTGCGCCATATTCCCAACACCAAAATGGCACTGTAGAGAGAGCGTGGCGGAGTTTATTTAGCATGGCTAGATGCATGCTATTAGAAGCAAATCTCCCCAAACGTTTGTGGACGTATGCCGTAATGACAGCGGTGTATATTAGAAATAGGTGTTTTAATTCTAGGTTAGGAAAAACTCCGTATGAAGCACTGACAGGTAAGCAACCTAATCTTAGCAATATGCATGTCTTTGGCTCAACATGCTATGCCTTTGTTCAAAATGTTAAGAAATTAGACGACCGGAGCCGTAAAGGTGTTTTTGTAGGTTATGATAAAGACAGTCCAGCATACTTGGTATACCACCCAGAAACAAACAAAGTGGAAAAGGTAAGATGCGTGAAATTTTTTGATAATTTTGGAACTGAGCCTGAGGCGTCTAATGACAACCAAGAGTTAATTGTGCCAAATAAAGAACACGTTGAGACTACGGTAAATGCTAACGAGCTGCCTCAGCAAATGGATGAAAATGCTGGTACAGCAGAGATAGAGAACAACGCGGCGAGATATCCAACACGCACTCGCAACAAACCAAGGTATCTTGATCAGCCAATTATTGACGACAATGTTAACCGCACTGTTGATTATTGCTTTAGGGCTGTAGACATTCCAAAATGTTACAAGCAAGCAATAAAATCGCTGGAGGCTAGCAAGTGGCAAAATGCCATGAATGCAGAGGTAAGCGCATTAAACGATAACAATACGTTTGAGTTAGTCCCACCACCAAAGGATCGACAGATAGTGGGGGGAAGATGGGTTTACGCCGTAAAAATCGGCCAAAATGGAGAAGAAACCCATAAAGCAAGATATGTAGCTAAAGGGTATTCTCAAATTCCTGAGATTGATTATCAGGAAACGTTTGCCCCGACAGCTCGCATGAGCTCAATTCGTACATTGCTACAACGTGTTGACACTGTTGTGCAGAATGACATGATCATTCACCAAATGGATGTCAAGACCGCCTACCTTAATGCGCCTATAGATTGTGAGCTCTATATGGAACAACCAGAAGGTTTTGAGGAACATGGTGAGAATGGTGAAAAATTAGTGTGCAAACTAAATAAGTCATTATATGGTTTAAAGCAAAGTGGGAGAAACTGGAATAATTTATTACACGAGTATCTGCAAAAGGAGGGTTTTACTCAGTCACAGGCTGATCCATGTGTGTATGTGAGAATGATTGACTCGAAGCGATGTGTTATAGTAATTGTATGGGTTGACGATATCATTATCGCAGCCAGTCATTTTGAATTACTAACAACTGTAAAAGAATCTTTAGGTGAAAGGTTCAAAATGAAAGACCTAGGTAAGCTATCGTGGTTTTTAGGTACAGAGTTTAAATGCAAGGAATCTTGCATCGAAATGAATCAGAAGCAATATATTGAAAAAGTATTGTTGAAGTTTGGGATGGCTGATTGCAAGTCCAAGCCTACTCCATGTGTTTTAGGTATCGAGAAGGTCTCAGACGAAGAATCACCAAGCTTAGAAGACCCAGGTGAGTATAGGGCTATTGTTGGGAGCTTAATATACGTTATGACAGGCACCAGGCCTGATTTGTGCTATATAGTGACGAAGCTCTCACAGAAAATGTCTAAGCCCACAAGAGCCAATCTCGACTTGGCTAAACACGTTTTAAGGTATTTGAGGGGTACATCTGAGCAAGGTTTGACATTTAGGAAGTCAAACGTTCCGCTAAGGTTGAACGGATTTTGTGACTCCGACTGGGGCGCATCAGTAGCCGACAGGCGGAGTATAACTGGCTATAATTTTCAGTTGTCTTCAACAGGTCCTTTAATATCCTGGAAGAGCCGTAAACAACCAACAGTTGCACTCTCTACATGCGAGGCAGAATATATTGCGCTTGCAAATGCCGTACAGGAGGCAAAATTTTTGAAACAATTATGTATCGACATGAAGGTAAGTATAAGTGATGATAATGTACTTATTCAAGTAGATAATCAGGGAGCTATAAACTTAGCTAGAAATCCCGTACACCATCAAAGGTCGAAACATATAGATATTAAGTATCATTTTATAAGATCCGAGATACAGGTAGGTACCATAAGTTTGAAATATGTTCCTACTGAGGACAATATAGCTGACGTCTTCACAAAGCCAGCTAGCAAAGGTAAGTTAGAAAAATTTAAGCACTTCATGTTAGGTTTATAAATGCGCTGCGTAATACAAACATATTAGAAATTAAAAAATATTGATGTAATTTATATAGATGCTCAGAACATAAGAGCAAGTGGGGGTGTTAGAATATGCTCCTGATATTCTGTTGACAATGATAATAAGATTATTAGTTAATGAATGACATTGATTACTATAGATATGTATGTAAAATGTAATCTCTGGATACCACAAATTCCAGTACAAATAGTTGCTCGATAGGCATACTCTGGGGCGGTAAATCGCCTTAAATCGCTGCGATATAATGCGATTTTGGGCGATTTTAGGCGATTTAAGCAAAAACTGGGACTTTCAAGCACTGCGATTTAGTGCGATTTTAGGCGATTTAAGAAAAAAAATTTAATTTTAGGGATTGCAATTTAGGTGTTTTCAAAGGAATTGAATTCTATATTTTGCTCCGGTTTCCTCCCACAGGGCAAAATTGGCAGGGTGGGTTAGGATAAACACAGTTAGGAAAGTAATATCATATCCTCATTGTTGTAAAGATAAATAGTCTAGGCTAACATAAGTCATCATAGTACTTGATGTAATCGATCACTGAAAAGCCCCAATGTGGGGAGTGAGCGGAATAATAATGTAATGTTTCCACACACATATGCATTGTATGAAGCAAAATACAATTATTAGAACATGTATGTACATTTTATATAAAGCTAGGTTAACTATTGTATTTAACCTGATTCACATATAAAGCTCAATATTCATGAACTTTTCACCCATTCTCTCTATTTAAAAGCAATTGGGGTTCATCTTGGAGGTCATAGCAGGGTGTTAGCTAGCCCATATGCTGTCCGTTTGACGGACTCTTCCCAATTGAGGGCTTTCCCAACTGGGTCTACTGGAAAATTAGCATGTGTCCCCCAAAATTTTAATGGTCGGGCGAAAATCAATGCGAAATTGGTCGAAATTGGGGAAATTTTTAAATTTCAATATTCTGTGAAAATTTTTCGGATTTGGCGGAAATTACGGAATATTTCTTTGATATCTCCTGAAAATTTTTTTTGGTGAACCCCCCCCCCCACCCCTCCCGCTCGCCAAGAATTGTGGGGAAAATATTCAGCTAAGTCCAGTTAAAACTTTCCCAATTTACGTTTAACGGACAAAATTTTTTTTCTGGCTAACACCCTGCATAGCTACATTTATATACACCACAAATAATGTAAACAGTTACTTGTAAACTTAAGGGGCATGCACTACACATATCCAGTTAAAATTGCAAAATATAATAAATATTTGATTTCCAAAAAAATCACAAGGGGTAGGGGGTAGAAACACACAAATAAGTGTATTTGTACAGTATAACTGAATAGGCTATAATCCCATAATTTACCTTGTCACCCTTGTAAGTGAAATTGTCTTGGTTTGTATCATGTCAAAACTTCTTTATTTAGCTTGCATTTTATTTAAACTGTTTCAATCTCGTGCTTTCTTCATGCTACAAACATATTTTAATATAAATTTTTTGATATCTACATCATATGATATCCCAGTGCCATATCCAGAAACAGTATCGTCACGCATTCGGAAACTGTCGGCGTAATGCCGTAATGTTTAAATTACATGAAGTATATCGTATATAAATGGTAGGAATTCTAAATTATTTTAAAATTAAAACCAAAATAGTACAGCGTTAATTGTTAAACAAATGGCGCACTACCACAGGGGACCCCACTGTGAGTTATGATTGAAATAATATTGTATTTATTTTTAAAAACCTACTTGAACCCTTGATAATCGATTATTTCTTCTCTCGAAGTTCTGTAAACATTTTAAACTGCTTGAATCATTATACTATCACTCTACATGAAGCATAGATGATCGCTGACGAATAAGAACGCGGGCGCGAAAAGACGAAGGCGGCGAAAGAAGGAAGAATTAAACTAAAGGGTTGAAACTTCGACTAGATGACATTTCTAAATGCCTTAAAATTCACAATTTATCGGTGTTTTCGAATATTTTTTTGCAGATTCTATGTCTTTTTGGATAATCTTCACAACTGATGTAGTGGATTCGATAAACGATTGATTTTTCGTATGTTTTTACATGAAACACTCGAAGCGTCTTTTCGCACAATGTGTTCCATAATACTTGTTCTCGTAACGTCAAGTATAATGAGTCCGAGTCATTTAAAAGGTTTACAGAACTTCGAGAGAAGAAATAATGGATGATCAAGGGATTCAAGTAAGTTTTTAAAAATAAATACAATATTTTTTCAATCCTAACTCACATTGGGGCCCCGTGCGAAATTTCCGGAGAACAACCTACTTATGTAACACATCAAACGATGACCCGCCGAAGTTTCAACCCTTTAGTTTAATTCTTCCTTCTTTCGCCGCCTTCGTCTTTTCGCGCCCGCGGTCCTTACTTGTCAGCGATCATCTATACTTCATGAAACGTCATGTAGAGTGATAGTATAATGACTCCAAGCAGTTTAAAATGTTTACAGAACTTTGAGAGAAGAAATAATCGATTATCAAGGGATTCAAGTAGATTTTTAAAAATAAATACAATATTATTTCAGTCATAACTCATAGTGGGGCCCCCTGTGGCACTACATCGTGGTTTTAGGTTCTGCAAACAAACAACACCAAAAGATCTATTGTATGGTATGTAAGAGGTAATCATTGTTTTACTGTTTATTGTATATGACACTCAACACTATTGTATATGACACTCAACACTGCAAATGACACTCAACTTTATTTATCTTTCCGTCCTGAGTCACCCGTTGTCCAAGACCAAGCTATTCAAACTATTAATAATTGCATTGTCGAAGTTCGTGCTTGGTTAGTTTCACATAAATTAATGTTCAATGACACTAAAACGGAATTCTTGATAATTGGAACTCGCCAGCAGCTGTCTAAGGTTACAATCGACTCGATTGAAGTTGGTGATGCTGATATAAAACCTGTACAAGAAGTCCGAAATCTAGGTTCGTGGTTTGACGAACATATGTCGATGAATGTCCATGTGGGCAAGGTTTGCAGCAAAGCATTTAGGGGCTTGTACAACATCCGACAAATAAGGAAGTTTCTCTCCATCGAATCAACCAAAACGCTCGTACATGCCTTTGTGACGTCACACTTGGACTACTGCAATTCTCTCTTGTTCGGCATTCCCCAATACCAACTTCAGCGTCTTCAACGAGTTCTCAATGCCGCTGCTAAAGTGACGTGTCTTATACCAAGATGTGCTCATATTACCCCTGTCCTGATGCACCTTCACTGGCTGCCTGTCAAGTTTCGCGTTGATTTTAAAATTGCACTTCTGGTATATAAAGCCCTCCACGGGATGGCGCCAGGCTACATTATGGAACTGTTGTTAGAAAACCCGAACTGCTGTTACCAACTGAGATCTGATGATCAGGGACTACTTTTTATCCCAAAAACTAGAGCCAAGACTCTTGGTGATCGAGCATTTGTGCATGCAGCTCCGTCAATTTGGAACATGCTACCTTCTGGTAATAGAAATAGTAAAACAATTGACTGTTTTAAATCTCAATTAAAGACTTTCCTTTTTAAGAAAGCTTTCGATTCTAACTTTTAGATTTATAGACACCTATACCTTAATTCTTAATATTTTAGCTACTTGTATATAGTATAACTTCATTGTTGTAAAGCGCTTTGGAATATTTTATATAATTTAAGCGCTGTATAAATCTTTATATATTATTATTATTATTATCCTGTTTTCATCAATATTGCAACAACCTGATCGTTTTTAGCTGTGTAATTGAAAAGCGGCAATGTATTATTGGAAATCAAATGTTGGAGCTAGGCATCCAATTACAAATACAGGAACAGTAGATTTTATAACACGAATGATATTTTTAATTTAATTAATTTCCCGGTTGCAAAAAATAATTTCCACACATGACTTTTGAAAGATCACTAGGATATGATTTACACGGAAATCTCAATATATAGAGAGGAAAATAAAATATTAACTTATATATAATTACTGATGTCTTATTACACTTCATCCTAAGACGAGAAGTCAAAACTGTAAATATATATATATGAAATATTTGAAAAATATATTTGTATATTTAATTATAATATAGTGTACTAAAACGTGTACTAAGACATGCACGTGTTTAATAACCCTACAATCCCTTTTTCAGATGTTATAGAAAAGTGTCCATTTTGCTATTTTGATTGACAACTGCAGTTTAATAGCTAACAACTTGATAACTCGACTGAGCTCTATAGTATAGCAATCATGAAATACTCCAATTTCAGCATTCCATTGGTATAATGCACCACAGCAAGTGTACGTATCTGAATAGTTCACTACTTAGGTTTATCGCCTTCGTCCACACAGGAGAAAACGTTTGTCATGTTTGTAACTTTCTTGTTCAGTGTTCTTTCTTGATCCTTTTCATTCACAACCTTTTCAGAACTCGCGATGAAATTATGGCTCGGAGAGGAATCTCGAATGATGGAGACGTCATAAGGATCATATATCATATAATAATTTAAAACTTGAATGAAGTTTTCTGGTAGTTTATAGGACAACAATGCCCTTTCGTAATAGCTGCAGGATATTTCGTCCTCACCAACTTGTTGAGTTGCATATTTCGCCGTCGAACTTTGCTTTTAGCTATGGTTGTGTATGGTTGGTATATTTATATGGTATTTTGCATTTGTAGTTCCAATTGTTTGTCCTTTTTCATTCCTTATATTACTTTGTCTTTTTTTACTATACTCTATGCGTTGAACTGTTAACACTGCGTAAGAAGTTACCTACCGCTGTGCAACATGTGTGATAAAACCTGCATGCATGCATGCATGCATACAACATATAAAGGGCAGACGAAATATTCTGTAATTCAGGAAATAAGAGTCAATAAATCATAATTGCCAACACTTTTCTTCAACGATACGATTTTACCGAGAATAGTGTTGGCAATGTACAACATACTTGATAACTGATCTAGAAAATGAAAATGGACAAGTTTTGGAATATAGAGATCAATCTCAGATTCCAATCCCTCATTAAGAAAAATGTAAAAGGAAAATAGATTTCCATGCGGTTGCTTGTTTCCAGCCCTGTATGTATTTTTTACACAAGACATGGATGGTATGTTTTGTAGCCAACTGATGTTTTATCTAACTGATTTATAAACCGTTGTTATTGTTAGGATAGCAAGTGGGGATGTCATGCAGAGCTCGCTTACATGGTCCCACTTTTTTTTTGACGGGATGAAACTCGACCGATTTTATTTAAGTTCATCAAAATCATCATTCATCTCATTTCGTTTCAAAAGAAATATATTAAGATATAATCAATAATTAATGGAATGTTTTCATGGGATTTTACAGATTTACTTCTCTCTCTTTAATAATCGTCTAATAGAGTGTTCGAATCGAGAATATATTTGACGTCATATTATTAATACACGATCACAATTGCATTGATATATGAGTTTGTAAACTTAAAAAAAGGTTTATATTAGGCTACCCTATAATGGTTTATACTAGCCTATATTTATATATTCATTGACTGAAAAAAGTTATTATTAAAACCCAAATTTTGTAAATGATTATATTTTAGTATTCATTATATAAATATATAGGCTAATTTTGTAAATAATTATTGTGTTAGTATAGTTCTAATCATGTAATATTTTTGAAAGCACGGCCCTTTGAAAAACAGATTACTGCATGAAAGGCCACAGTGGTTAAGTAAGTTTAAATAGGCTAATAATAATTAAAGTTCGGGAATTAAAACTCGTTAAGCCTAAAGGCTATGATCCGCACTTCTTGGGCGGGAAGTTACTCTGTCATTAAATTGTTTCTTTTTTCTGATTTTTCCTATTTGACATAATGAGTTAAGTTTTATATTCCATAAAATATTTAATAACACGTCATGGTACTGACTATATTAAGGTCCAGACACACCGAACGCGATTCGACAACGCGACGCGATTTTTCGATTTTCACTAACCGATAACTTTGATCCTAGTTTAAATTTTCCAAATATTTAGAAGCGTTATAACATTTTGCAATTTGAGTTATTTGGTCTACATACTGTGAATTTTGGCACTTAGAACCATGCGTCAACATGGTGTGCTGTGAGTATGGAATGTCAAGAAAGATATAGTCTAACGAAAACTGTTTGTTTTACTGTTGCCCGAAGGAAGACGCTTGTAGCGTGTCTTCGAATGAAAGCAGCAAGAGCCTCGTGTGATCAACACCAGTATCGGGTTTTAAAATATATTTAAAATATTATATATATTTTGCGCGAAAATCTAATGGGTTATTTGTAACCCCTGGCACCTGCCCGTTTATATCGCAGCTCGCGTAAAATATTTCTTACTCTGTCGTTTATAGTTCGCAAAGGCAAGCTGTGAATTCCAAGTGTCTCTACAATCCAATCATCCAAAGCAAAGTAAGTTAATTGACTAGGTTTTTACACGATGCTAAGTTCATTTAGTTGCAATGCATGGTATTACCCGATGATATTTTAGTATTTTCGTGGCGTACAAAATTTCGATTCCGTATATACGAAGACACTTTTTGAGAGTAATATCGTTTGTATTTTTTACAGAATGCTGAAAACCTACTCCAATAGGCTTAACCCTATTGCGTGTGCACCTATTTAGCCTTCTTTTTTTACGAAACGGCTGTGATGACATGGAAGCGAATTGGGTAATTCATCCGGTGTGTGTCATTCACCAAAGACCAACCAGAGTAGTGTGTAGCGGGGCTTAATGAACCCCTTTTCATGCGCATATGAACCTATTTTCATGAGTTATACAAATTAATTTGCATAATGATGACGTATTTTTCCGATGATTTTCCGATGATGATAAAACGAGAGCTTTCCGATCACCCGCCATTTTGTTTCAAGAGCCAGGAAGGGTTAATAATGACGGTTTTAAGGGAAAATAACATTGAATTGAGTGTGAATACTTTTCGTTTCCATTTAAAATTGCTTTTGGAAAAGCATGGGGGTTTATTTGAAAGCATGATAGCTCGTATTGGAAGAGAGAACGTACTTGAAAATTTGTGTGTAATTTATCAGGAGTTAGAACCTTCGAATTTTGGTAGAATTATGGCTTATGCTTCAGTCATTTGAAATCACGGACCCCCCACCCCCGGGACATAGCGGGGGATTAGCCGGGATTTAACGCTATTTAACAACGTGCTATGCCCCGGAGGGCAGTGGAATTAACTAAATGTTCTTATAACCGGGAAATTGACCCGGGATATAACAGCCGCTATATATGAATAACCGGGGATAGCCGGGGACTGGCGAAAAACTTGTTCAACAGTTACGTGCGTTTGAAACTTTATGTTTTATACTTTATAATCGCCAGCCTGTCAGCCATCCGTTGCTGTTAATATTCAATAAGCATCAGGTATCGCCTTTTCCATTGACCATTGTTAGAATAATATAGTAAAATGAACTGCGCTTCAGAGAAAACATGGGCAGCTTAACGGCGGTTTTTCGCTTATTAAACATTTTGCTCTAGTCGTTTTCAGATCTCAGTTTTTCTTTCGCTCCTTAAAAAACTCACAGCAAGCTGAGGTAGACTTGGTGACTAATCTGTAGGGTCATGTAATTGATAGCTATATACAGTATTTAAACACCGACCTCGAATACTTGACGGAAATTCAATCTGGAAGTTGCGGAAGACCGGTAACTCAAATGCATGCATGATGCGGAATTTGTCTTGTATTTATAGTTTAGGTATATTGAAGCCCGCTGTACGGGAGTTTTAACAGAACAGTTTGCCCCAGGGACGGGGGAATTAATGTTTTTTAACACTTGTCAGTGTTAAATTCCCCGCTATGTCCCGGGGGTGGGGGGCCCGTGATTTCAAATGACTAAAGCATTACTTGACTTTAGTTTTTAAAGTTAGTGATTGTGCAAGAAGCCGTAAAAGACTGTGTATGGGAATTAAAACAGGTGGACATAGCTAGCTTTGAAATAAAACAATCTTGGATACAACGTTTAATTGCCTGGTTACGCGACTAATAACCTGGCGAAATTTGAATATCACTAATCCGGGTTCAATAGCAAAAGTCATTAACTGTTGTACATGACTGAACACATTGTACTTTTACTACATTGCCCGGGCCTGTCTGTGCTGACCTTGCAAGAAACTGGCTTTAACGACAGGACATAAATATCGCGCATCAGACAGTATCATTGTCGTTTACCTACAGCAATGGAGTGTTTGCATGGATTGCCAGCGTCCGCGGTTACTACAAAAAATGGAAAATTTTGGCTTTGCAATTAAAATGGTCCCAAGAGTTGTGAATTCTTCTGCCCTGATCAAGACCGCTCGTTGTTCGAAACGGCCATGTCAATGTGGATGGAGATGGATAGTATATTTTAACTTCCATGGCAGCATACACTGAATTGCAGAAGTTTTACATTATGATTAGATAGATCAACCGGACTGACGTGAAGCAGACCGAGGTAGACTTTGAGCTTACAAATGGCGCTTGAGCAGCCGCTATTAGTCCATACCTCATTAATGATCTGCCTCCAGACTTTAAGTGCCTAACCCACCCTGTCAACTTTCCCTGTGGGAGGAAACACGGAGTACCCGGAGAAAACCCACGACTTTCGGCAGAGCGTTGACTTACTCTTTTCACATTAGGACTGGCTTCCAGTCACAATGAGAAGTCCTCATTGAGATTCGAACCTGCGGCCTTAGAGGTGAAAGCCAAGTGCGCTAACCACTTCGCCACCGAAGCCCCGTGGAGAGCGAATGGACCAATTCACCCGGTGTGTGATACTCACCAAAGACTAGCAAGAATGAAAGTCGTCAAAGACGTCGGTAAACTGAACTTTGGAAGGCCGTTTTTTGTTTGTTGAGACCGCGAGAATCCATGTAATTTCTGGCAGTGGGGTGACAGACACGAGTTGCCAAAACCGAAGTGCGGACACGGATTGAATGCATGCGTACGAAAGGTCAAAAAAGGAGAAAATCAAGGCCGCCTTTTCTTCTGTTGCCCAAACGATCGAGAAAAGTCGTGCGGTTTTTTTGTATGTAAACTCGAGCTGGAAAACCCGTTCAACCAAGTCCATTTTCCTCACGTTGAAAGAGTTGGTGTATTGCAGAGTAATCCAGCGATCTACACGTACATGGTAGCTGAGACTGGACTTACCTTTACTAGCGCACGGGAAAATCCACACGATGCCTACGCTGAATATATGGGAGAATTGCCTATTTTCTCACTAACGAAGGATATGGAGAAACTGTCACTTATAGACTATTAAGAGACTACAATTAGGGGCCATTCACAAAGGATGTCCGGCCAAATGATGGATTTTCAGACCCCCCCTCCCCCCCTTGTCCGGCATTGTCCGAATTAGTGACCCCCCCCCTCCCCCCGGACATCCACCATAGTAGAATAGTCACAGCTATATTCCCCTTAGTCAGCATTTTTTTGCAGAGCTCTTACCCCTTGGAATTAGTTTCCAGGTCTTTCGTTAGGGCTGTTGCGCGCGCATGTCAACCGGAAGAAGTTGATTGAAGGGAAGTAATTGTAATTGGTTGAGAAAAACCAATCAAAAAGTATGTATAGATATAAGAGTTGTTATGATTGGTTTGAAAGCTACTAATATAAAACGGAATAAAAGAGTTTTGTAAATTGGTTAGTCAGTTCGTTTCTGTTTTTAAACATTGTCGAACGGTTGAGAGGTCCTTACTGAGAGGTGAAGGAAACTATGGCACACATATTTGAACAATTATATGTGGATGAAATTGATTTTGAAGATATTACATCTGTCAAGTTGGTAGATCTAATTTTTACTGAGTTTGTCCATAGGCAGATATGTGAATTGGAAGAGCTTAGACGGTCTGCGAATGAAGCGGATCCATGGTCAACGAATCATTGTGAAACGATAAACGACGGTGATCTGTGATTGATGCATACAGATGAAGCAATTTCCATGATTGATTGCGAGGACGTTTGGCATGGACTTATTGAAGCTTGTAAGATTTTAAAGTATCCTGAACCTTCATCGGCACACCGAAGCTATTTGGAGTCTTTGTACGGCGTACCATGGTCTACACTGAAGACATTATATTTTGAATTTGAAAGGACTCATAGTTTTATGTATCTTATGGACTATACCAGTTGCGTTTGTAAATTAAGATATCATTGAACTGTATAATTTATGATTGTCATTAACGATGTTTATAAGCTCAATAAATCCTTTTTGTGTTAATTTTGTTTGTGTGGGGATTAGTAAAAGTCATCAAAAGTTATTGTTGCTATAGTAAGCATATATGTGATAAGAGGGAGAAATGTTTCGATTTGGTACGACCTTATAATCAGATGTAAAATATCATTGAACTTTGTAACGACCTTAGTAATAAATTATTTTAAAACCGGTTGCATTGTGATTCGTTTATTCAATTGATATTGTTGCTTGTTGTACTAACACCTAAATAATGGGTACTTTTCACAGCAAGGGGGATAAAATTAAAAGAGACAAAAATCATAATAGACAAAAAATGTTCAGATTTGGTACAAGCTTTGGTCGTAATGATTTAAATTTGGAGGGTCACTTACAGATGGGTTACAATAGTAAAACAATAAAAAACTACGGTCCTCTTGACAAACAATTAGTTTCACAAGAAAATTTATCTTCAACAATGAGAGGAACAGAAGACCGGTTAATTACTCCAGCATCGGAAGCTATTACAACAGAGGATTAATATATTGTTTTTATAAGGAGGCTACAATTAACGATTGTTTCATTGCATAGATAGTATGGCCCAGGAATCAAATGAGGGTGTTGATGAGTACTTAAAAAGTGTTTATTACAATCCAAAACGTCCGGGAAGTTACGGGGGCGCGGAGAATTTATATCGCGATGTGAAAGAGGAGGGAAAGATTAAATTAAGTCGAAAACAAATTTTAGAATGGTTGATGAGTCAAGATGCGTTTACTTTACATAAATCAGCTCGCCGAAATTTCAAGAGGAATCGTGTTTTTGTGGGAGGCATAGACGAAGAATGGCAAATGGATTTAGCAGACATGCAGTCTTTGAAACAATACAACGATGGGTATCGATACTTGCTTGTCTGTATAGATGTATTTTCAAAATATGCATGGTTAGTTCCAATCAAGTCAAAAACAGGACCTGCTATAGTCGAAGCGTTTAAAGTCATTTTATCATCTGGTAGGAAGCCTCAAAAGATTATGACGGATCAAGGAACAGAATTTTTTAATAAACCATTTCAAACTCTATTGAACGGTGAAAATATTCAACTTTTCAATACATTCAACGAGACAAAGGCTTCCGTTGTCGAGAGAGTAATTCGTACCTTCAAAGCAAAGATGTGGCGCTATTTTACGGCAAAGAAAACGATGAGATACGTTGACATGTTACCGGACTTAGTTTATTCCTATAATAATAGTCGGCATCGTAGTATAAAGACAAAACCCGCCCTTGTCAATGCAGAAAATGAGGATGATGTATTTCATACATTGTACGGCAGTGTTTTTGATAATCTACAGCCTGTAAAATATAAGTTTAAAATCGGCGACAAGGTTAGAGTAAGTAAAATTAAACGAAAATTTGAAAAGGGTTATTTACCAAACTTTTCAAAAGAAATATTCACTGTAAGTAAAACATTACCTCGAAATCCACCAGTATATAAGCTTAAAGATTATGACGACGAAGAGCTCAAGGGAACATTTTATGATAAAGAACTTCAAAAAGTTATTAAACATGATGACGTATATGAAGTCGAGAAAATTCTTAAAAAACGAGGAAAGGGGCAAAATGTACAGTATTATGTAAAATGGTTAGGTTACCCAAATAAATTTAATTCGTGGATACCTGCATCACAAATGAATGAACTTTAAAAACGATGTGTGTGTGTTGTGTTTTTTTACTTGTAGCATTACAGTCGTAATGAGTGGAACACATTTTTATCTTGCTCTTCCGAGTAATGCTTCCTATTCAACGTTTCCCGATAACACAACAACTAGTTATCGGGTGAAATTGCCACAAACAATTAATTTAAATGGTAGCTGGGAAGTTGGTCTATATACCATAAGCTATCCTCACACATGGTACAATCTTCAAAATAAAGATAGTCACATATATTCCAGTGCAGACGGTTATATTTTTCTAACTTCTATTGTTGATTACGGCTATTATGAAACGATGAACGATCTTGTCAAATCTGTAAATGCAAAATTGAAAAAAAGATAACAAGAATGATAATATTAAATTGACGTATAATGCTCGAACTGACAAAGTAACTGTTCATGTGAAGAATGGCCACCAATTAGTTGTAACGGGCCGGTTTGCTATTATTTTGGGGTTTGGGGAGAAAGAAACGAAAATTATTAAAACGACCGTTAGTCCATATGCGTCAGATTTGCATGGCTCTATGACGATATATTTTTATTGTGATATAACAGAACCCCAGATTGTTGGAGATACGAATGCCAAGCTGATTAGAAGTGTTCCTGTTGAAGGAAAAATGGGTGACGTAGTTACAAAAACGTTTACCAATATACAATACGTACCCGTTCAAACGAAATCTTTTGAGGACATTGAAATCCTTTTAAGAGACGATACAGGTAATCCTGTTCCATTCGAACGCGGCAAGGTCTTGGTGACACTACACTTTAGACAGAAAAGTTCGCCTTACTTTGCATAAAACCATGACTCAAACAAATCGATACGTGCAATATTATTTGGACCAACAACAAGGAAATGGAATGCCTGTCTTCATTGGCCGTTCATGGCAACGCGGACATGGGGCGCAGATAGGATTTGGAATCGGCGGC